ACTCCCATGGCCTCGGCATCTCTCTGAGACCTCGCCTGCCTGATCCGGGAAAAACGAGCAGTCTCTTCAGTAGCACGAGCAGCCTCCTCGGCAGCATGACGAGCCTCTTCAGCAGCTCGCGCCTGCCTCAAGCTCCTCTCCACCTGAGTCGCCAAGGCGTGAATAGAAGAATATAGTTGTTCATGTCTTATTAAGGGCAAAATTGGCATTTTTATTTTATTTTGATTAAATTTATTTAAATTAACATTACGATCAATAGTGTCATGTATTGGAAGATTGATTAAATTATAAGGGGTATTTTAATAAATGATCCATTCTATTATTTAACTTTTGCTTAATAAATCCTGTGCACGGTCCCCGCTGGTTTACCTTAATCCATGGTTTTTTTTTTAAACAATGCTAACATTTTTACAAATTTTGATTTTGGGTAAGTTATAAACAAGGTTCAAAGTATCGACACGTATCGGTAGATACGTATCATTCCGGGACCCCTCCGATACGCCCCTATAGTGGGTGTATCGGGGGTCTGACTGGTTTAGGGGGTGGAGGAGACCTAAAGCGACCCCCCTGAACCAGTTTTAGAAAAAAATAAAACTAAAAAAAAACAGTATCGATTCGCCCAATACGCCTATACCAGCGTATCGGACATATCGATATTTTGAACCTTGGTTATAAAGACCCCCTATACTATGTGATCGGTGATAATTATGTTTTTGAATTTTTTGTCTTTGAGCTTTCATTTACAATATAAACCCATGAACTTTTCTTATTTTATTTTCCTTTATCATTTTTATTTGACTCATATAGAAAAACAAGTTTCTTTAGGTTTTGTTTGATTCGAAGGAAAATGTAAGAAAAGGAAGCGAAAGGCATGAAAACCTATATAAGGTTTGTAAAGGGTTACCTACCTTTCCCTCCATTTTCCTTCAAGCCTAACATAACCTAAATTCTTATTTCATTTCACTAATATGTTTATCCATCAAAGAACCAAGAAAACCAAATAATACGATAAGTTTATATATGTTAGAAACAAACCTCTACCATTACATTTGAAGCAGCTATAAAACATGCGTGGATATATAGAGCAATTGGGATTGCTTCAATATTATATTTAGAAAAATAATCTAATCACAAAATGTTCAAATAAATGAGAAAGGGTAATTTGTGATTTTAAAGAGTTCAAAACATTTGAATCAGATTTTTTTTTGACGAAACTCTAATGGAGGAGGGTATTTATTACATGGTGAAAGTTCAAGGGGATATTTATTAAAGTTGAAAGTTCAGGGGTAATTTTCACTAACACCAGTGGGTCTTTTCAATTTATCCTTTGATTTTTTGACAAACCCCCTAGCACTATATATAAAATATAATCTAAAATAATGTATACAATTATACATATTAAAACTGTTTATAAATCACGAGGAACCGCTGACATTATACATTAAATACAATTTTATCAATAATATAACTAAGAATACTGTATATAATTAAAATTGGATCAAATTTCTTAAATTATCTCTACTGTTTAGCTAATTGATAAATTGTATCTTTACTATTTATCTATTGTCTTGAATCACTCTATTATTAATGTTTTATGATATTGTGTTAAATTATAAAAGAAACGATGAAAAGTCGATTATACCTTTATGTTAAGTCTTATCCATATTTCCTCAAAATGTTGGCACCTCCTTGCCGATTCTACGTGTATCACCGTCATTGTAACCCAAAATTAACCAAATTAGAAGTCCAAGCTTTTTTTTAGGGAAATTTCCATTAGTACTCTGTATTTTGGGCTTAGTGCCATTTTGTTCCCTAAACTTTAAAGTGTAATAATTTAGTATATGAACTTTTAAAATGTAATAATTCAGTGTTGTCATTAACCAACTGTTAATCAACCATTAAGTGATATTTTAAAAAGACATAAATACTCTTTAAGTGTCATCTAATTTTCTTTATCAATCATCCAAACATTGACAAAAATTTAACAGTCTCAAACATAATACCTACATAAACATGACCCCAACATTTTTGAATGAAACAAACAAGAATTTGAGATTGTATTTTTTTTGTTAACATTTAGATGTTTGATAAAGAAAATTAAATAACAGTCATGGAGGATCTCTGTCTTTTTCAAATATCAATTAATGGTAGGTTAACATGTAATTAACTATAGGTACTGCATTGGGGTTTTTTTCCCTCGAGAGGTGTCGGAGATTTCGAAGGAATAGTGATCAGGGGAAAAAATACAGATGAACAAAGTCACTGATATCAGATAACAAAAAACAGATCATCAAAGCCGAATCGATTCAAGAGGATTTGATCCAATTTCAGCGTCAGGCAAATTTCTGAAGTCTGTAATAGTAAATTCCTGAAGTTTTCAACTGACTCCACCTTGTCGTCAACCTTCTGACGACACAAAAAACTATGTAACACCATTTACCATCTGTCGAAATATCTGCACCAGAAATCACAGAGAAGCTAAGAAACCATTTTTATGTGAACAAACGAATTAGCTAAGAAACCAATCACATACTCTTTAGTTTTCACCATGTTCAGAAACCAAGACATTCTATTCTAACACCCCATACACTCACCGCTGCACAATAGTGGGGATTTTCACTTTATCTAGATCCATGTTCTCAGACACAACATCGCTAGGACCAGGTTGTAGACCAAAGGTATAGGCTTGTAAATATCCTTGAAGAACATATTCAAGAAATTCTGCAACAAGAGAACAAGCGTGAAATTCAATGGGTGAGAGGTGTGCAAGTGCAAAGGAGGTGGGAGATGGGAGGTGTGACTAGTAGGGTTTTCAAGAGATCGTCGAAGGTAATTTGGCAATGCAAGTGCCCCTTGCCCAAATCGGAAGGCCGACGACAACGCCTCACCAACTGGACCACCGACAACACCTGCTCCGCCTCGTGGTAGAAGACGATGAACAGATTCAACCCAACTCCTCCGTTACAAACTTCATCAATCACTATTGATTGTCACTGAAATCGAAATCGAACCTATTTATAATTTTTCATCGAACTGAATGAAATATACCGTAATCCGAATAATTTCCGATCCGTTTGCAGACCGCAATCACCGCTTCATGGCCCTTAAAGAAAAACTTAGCTTCGATGATCTTCCGGTTATAGGAGGTATGGACAGAAGCGTTGGTCTCCCTATTGATCATGTTTCGCTAAAATCCGTGTCATCTCAGCTCCGATCCTTGAAGTGGCACCTGGCAACCATTATCCAACAAAGTCCTAACAAGCACAAAAAAGGTTAAGTCGCAACTGGCTGGCTCTCCATTCAGAAGCCTTATTACTGCAATGAGAAATTTTCCGAGATACTTGTTTTATTTGCAAAGAAGCCTCATTTGTTAGGTAATAAGACAATTTATTATCAGAGAGACAGAGAAGCCTAGTTCATCTGGCAAAGTCAGTTATAGAGAATTATGCGGAAGAGGGAATCGGAATTAGCGGCCAAGTTGGTTGAAGCAGATGCCGAAGAAGACCGAAGAGTATGGAATTTAAAGGAGAGAATATCGACCGTTTAACATCGCCGCCGTTTCATCAGATTTGTAATTATGGAGAATTCGGTTTGCCACTACTGAAAGGAAGAAGACGACGAAAAAGAAGACGGTAAAAAAGGAGGAGAAAAAGAAAAAAAATTGGAGAGGGAAAGGGAAAAAGGGTAATATCGGAATTAAAAATATCACGTGTGTGCGGATTTTAATGGATGTTAAGATAGGGTAAAGTTATTTAATTGTCAGAATTAATTAAGTACTGAGGGTGCAGTTTGTAAATTAGCTAAATAATAAGGATATTTTAAAAAATTTAATGATAAATGACTTAAAAACTGCTTTTAAATAATTAATCTTAATAAAAAGTTTAAAATTCCAAAATTTCACAAAACCTCATCATGATGCCGTCCGAAAGTTTCGAAATTTCAGAAAATTAAAATTCTCTTTGTTTACATGCCACAGTCCCCCCCACTCCCCCGCCGGACACAAAAAGAAAAATACATATTCTGGGTCTGGGATTTATTAATTAGTAAATCGGGCAGAGATTCGGGTCAAGAGCCAATCCGGAACCGCCCCGGATACAAGTAGGAAACAAACATTAGTATCAGATGGTTCTAGAATTCAAAAACCAAATTCCAACTTCCAGGTTCCCACCAAGAAAGAACTGATGCGCTTCCTGGAGGGAAATAAAAGTCTTTGATGGGCGATGTGTTCATTTGCTTAAAATTTGATCCTACGGTCAGGATTAACGTGTGGAATGTTCTGGAAAAACAGTCCTGAAAGCTACCTAAAAGCTATATAATAAGCGACTATCGGTCTCTAACAAATCACCCTAACCCTAGCGCAAATTTTTATATTTCTTGATTCCCATTTTTTCTTCTCTCAATCTTCTCTGTGATTAGCTTTTATCGGTTATTGCAAGAACAATGGCCGGTAAAGGTGAAGGTCCGGCTATTGGGATCGATCTCGGGACGACATACTCCTGTGTTGGAGTGTGGCAACACGATCGCGTTGAGATTATAGCCAACGACCAAGGAAATAGAACTACGCCCTCGTATGTTGGCTTTACTGATACAGAGCGTTTGATCGGAGATGCAGCCAAGAACCAGGTCGCCATGAACCCCGTGAACACCGTTTTCGGTAAGTTCCAGGATTCTATACCCTAATCTAGTGATGTTGTGTTGTCCGTTTAAGCTGAATATTTTTGTTTATATTTTGAGATCATTCTGTTCTGTTAGTATCTGCTACTTGCAGAGTAAGTCGAATGCCGCGTACACGTTTAGTGTTATGTCTTCTGTAGAATTTGTCAACAGTTTTTTAAGGGTTGAGGAATCCAGATCTGGGTTTCTGTATATGATATATTCAGATCTACTAGTTTACCTCGTGTTAATTTTCAGTGATCCGTCCAGATTTGTGCTTATTATGTGATTTTGTCCTCATAGTACGATTAGATTTTTCCCTAGGGCATCATTGTTTGTGTCTTCTGAAGTTGTTCATTGCTTCTTATGGGTTTTGCCGATGGTTTTAAGTGTTAACAATTACTGTATTTGGGTTCTATTATGGGGTCCTTATCTAGCAGATCTGTTACTTGAATGTCTTAAAAAGTACTTTGCTTATAGGGGTATAATTTTCAAAAATTTATCTTAACATCCATTAGTTCATGTGAGAATCTGGAATATTGTATTTTATGCCTTCCTAATTCAGGGAGTCGGAGATTTGGTTTTCTGATCTTCTGATTCTTTCTCTTTCAGATGCAAAGCGTTTGATCGGTAGGAGGTTTAGCGATGCTTCTGTTCAGAGCGATATTAAATTGTGGCCCTTTAAGGTGATTGCCGGCCCTGGTGACAAGCCCATGATCGTTGTCACCTACAAGGGTGAGGATAAACAGTTTGCCGCTGAGGAGATTTCATCCATGGTCCTAATGAAGATGCGCGAGATTGCCGAGGCCTACCTTGGTTCAACTGTGAAGAACGCTGTTGTCACAGTTCCTGCCTACTTTAACGACTCTCAGCGTCAGGCCACAAAGGATGCCGGCGTTATCGCTGGTCTCAATGTCATGCGTATCATCAATGAGCCTACGGCTGCAGCCATTGCTTACGGTCTTGACAAGAAAGCTGGCAGTGTTGGCGAGAAGAACGTCCTCATTTTTGACCTTGGTGGTGGAACCTTCGATGTCTCCCTTCTTACCATTGAAGAGGGTATCTTTGAGGTGAAAGCCACTGCAGGAGATACTCACCTCGGAGGCGAGGACTTTGACAACCGAATGGTGAACCACTTCGTTCAGGAGTTCAAGAGGAAGCACAAGAAGGATATCAGTGGAAACCCTAGAGCTCTGAGGAGACTCAGGACATCATGTGAGAGGGCAAAGAGGACTCTCTCGTCCACTGCCCAGACCACCATTGAAATTGATTCTTTGTATGAGGGTATCGACTTCTACTCCACCATCACCCGTGCCAGATTTGAGGAGCTCAACATGGATCTCTTCAGAAAGTGTATGGAGCCCGTTGAGAAGTGTTTGAGGGATGCTAAAATGGACAAGAGCACTGTTCACGATGCTGTTCTTGTTGGTGGGTCTACTAGGATCCCCAAGGTCCAGCAGTTGTTGCAGGACTTTTTTAACGGGAAGGAGCTATGTAAGAGCATCAACCCGGATGAAGCCGTTGCTTACGGTGCTGCTGTCCAGGCTGCTATCCTGAGTGGCGAGGGCAACGAGAAGGTCCAGGATCTTTTGCTTCTGGATGTTACTCCTCTCTCCTCTGGTCTGGAGACAGCTGGAGGTGTTATGACTGTGTTGATTCCTAGGAACACCACCATTCCTACAAAGAAGGAACAGGTGTTCTCTACCTACTCCGATAACCAGCCAGGTGTGCTGATCCAAGTATACGAGGGAGAGAGAACGAGAACAAGGGACAACAATTTGTTGGGTAAATTTGAGCTCTCCGGCATCCCACCTGCTCCCAGGGGTGTTCCTCAAATCACAGTGTGTTTTGATATTGATGCAAACGGTATCTTGAACGTCTCCGCCGAGGACAAGACCACTGGGCAGAAGAACAAAATTACAATCACCAATGACAAGGGTAGGTTGTCCAAGGAAGAGATTGAGAAGATGGTCCAGGAGGCAGAGAAGTACAAGTCTGAGGATGAGGAGCACAAGAAGAAGGTGGAGTCCAAGAATGCATTGGAGAATTATGCTTACAACATGAGGAACACAGTGAAGGATGAGAAGATTGGTGCCAAGCTTGCCCCAGCTGACAAAAAGAAGATAGAGGATGCAATTGAGCAGGCCATACAGTGGTTGGACAGCAACCAGCTAGCCGAGGCAGATGAATTCGAAGACAAGATGAAGGAGTTGGAAAGCATTTGCAACCCCATCATCGCAAAGATGTACCAGGGAGCGGGACCTGATGCAGGTGCAGGGATGGATGAAGATGGTCCTTCTGTCGGCGGAACTGGTGCTGGCCCCAAGATTGAGGAGGTTGATTAAGCGGGTGTGGTTTGGGCGGTATATTGCATACTGCGGAATTTATGGAAGTCTCTTTCTTGGTCATTCGTTTTGTTGTGTTAGGATTTTGGACTTTTGTTCTTTGCCCGTATATAATTGGGCACTACTTTTTTTGTTGGTTCATCGTCTATTATATTTACTGGTGTTATGAGGTAATTGGTTCCAAATTTCCTCCCTCTCTCTCATTTTATATAAAACGAAGTTTATCAGAAAGCACAAACCAAATCGAAGCAACAGCTCCAAACATCACTCCACAGTCCACAATTGATTTTAATTTCGGGTGGTATCTCCCCTGGCGAGTATTGTATTTATCTTGTTATGTAATCAAATTCGACGTGTCATATATAACACGCACGCCAATGAAATAAATGAGTAGGGGTTTCCATTCGAGGCATGAATTCTTAGGAGTTTACTAACGGAGCCTGGGGTGATGTATGGATTTTGTTAAATAATAGAAATATATAAGAATATACAATTATTTTATGTGTTATTTTTATAAATTTTTTATAATATAAAAATAAACATTATTAATTTTAGCTGTTTATAGAAGATATTATTTATGTTATTGAGAAGGGGGAGAGAGAGAGCCATCCCAATGGTTGTTAAATGACATTAAATAAAAAAATTAATTCAAAAAAAAGGAAAAAAATTTTAGATCACAGTTTTAGAAGTCAGGATATTCGATTTTGGTTGCTAAAGTATATTATAATGGAAGTGAAGAAGTCAGGGTATTCGTTTTTGCTCTGCTGTATCTCTTTTAGGCTTTAATCCAAATATGCAGACTGGAAAACTTTGTATTTAATATTATTTTGTATATATTTACACATATTTGCATTTATACTCCTTCCAAGCTAAGCTTCCAATTCAATTCTATATACTTCACCTAGCAGCAGGGTGAACCGACATGGCGATGGTGAGATGAGTCTCTTTGTTTGGGTAGATTTATATTATATCACGATTATCTAATCGTTCTTTCCTATGAAGTGTGAAAGGGGTAGGCTATGTGGTAATATGAGAGAGGGAGATAAACTGTCAAATCATATTTCAAATAAAATGGTTTTTTCATAGCATTTCAATTTTTATTTAAATTAGATAATAACTGATGTTTTCCCTAAAACAATATTAAGGCTCAGTTTGAAAAGAGTATAAATACAAATATACAAAATAATATAAAATATAATGTTTTATACTCTACAAATATGTACAGTACAATTTGTATTTGTACTAAGTACAAATATATAGAATATAAAACCTTGTATTATTTTGTATATATTTGTATTTATACCATATATTTATATTTATAGTCTTTCCAAACTAAGCCTGGCTTGTAGACATTTGGTTGTTGGATTGATCTTCAAAATTTTAACCTCCAATCAATCCACCCAATTTAAAGCTGTAGATTTGCATCGTTCAAAACTTTTCATGTGGTCCAGACTTTTTTATTGTGGATTCTATTATTGCTTGCTCTGGTCAAAGGGGATAAGGTTCGGGACCAACACTTGTCATAGGTCATGCCGTAAAAAACCCAAGGGAAATGAATTTGGTTGCGATTTTTCAAGTAAGAAGAATGTCCCAAGTAGCTTATTTCGTCGATTTAATTGAAAATGGTTTATATTGAGCTGAGTCAAATTATTTTTATACTATATCAGTTCGGTTGTATTCTCATGGAAAAATGTCGAGGCAGCCAATTTAGGTCAGTCTTTTAGCTCGTCCTTACATCTTGTTCGTCCAAACGTGAGTTAATGCTTAGTGGTTTTTGGTAGGGTGACAAAAGGGTGGATTGGGTTGGGTGTGGATTGAGTACCAATCCACCCATATTGATTCAATATCCCATTTGTCACCCATGTCTGTGGGTCAAAGTGGGTCACAACCCTCTCTGACCCTGACCCACCCTAATCCACACATTTGACCCTTTAATTTAAAGTAGTTTTTTTTTTTTTATTTTCTCTATTTTAATTGCATAAAAACATAGAATAAACGAATATAAAAAGTTTCAATTTTTCAAATAAAAATAAAAACCTATAAACACACAAAAAATGGTAAATAATATATATTTCATGTAAAACACCAGAATTGCAAAAAAAATACAGGAAATTATAAAAAAAATCAGAAAATATAAAAATTTGCAAAAAAATACAGAAAAATGTAAATACACAAACATATATATTTCAACTAAAAGGATATGAAAAAAAATAAAATTTTCAAATATAAAATACATAAAAACATAGAAAATGATAAACATCAGAAATTACAAAAAAATACAAGTAAATTGGAAAAGACAAAAACTCAGAAAATATAAAATTTGGATAAAAAAAGAAACCGCAAAATACATAAAATGATAGAATATTCAAAAATCTATATATTATAGCAAAAAAGTAAAAGAAATGCAAAAAACAAGAAAATGATAATTTTTTCAATTTTTTTTTTTGTAAAAAATCAGAAACTGCAAAAAAATTATATTAGAAAAATCAAAAGTTTTTTCATGGCATTTTGTCATTGGATAAAATTCATATTAGATTGCGCCAATGTAAAAAATCAATTTTTTTCATGTAAAATGAAAATTTTACATTGTTTCCGCTTCAATAATTGATTTTTTTTTATCATAATACCTTGAAACATTGACAATATCAAGCTAAAACATAGTGTATTACTCCAAACGCTGGGATCCCTGATTCGAATCTTCAATCTGGAGATCTAAGTGAAGAAGAGATAGTGGCGGTGTGTTTGCTAATTCAAATAGGAGATTTGGGTGGTGCGACGACCAACTTCAACATATGAGACAGAGAGAGGGGTGGTGCCTGGTGCGACATCTACCTTCCATAGATCTGAGGAGTTGGTGCAACATCCATCTTCAAGATCTGAGAGAGAGCGGTGGTGCGACGTCCACCTTCCATAGATCTGAGAAATCGGTGCAGCAATCAACTTTAATAAAAAATTTGGGCGAATAGATATGAGAAATCAATGCGACAATTGGCTTTAATTGAAGATTTGGATGAGAGATTCAGAGAAGGGTGACTAGCGACATGAGAGAGAGAGAGAGAGAGAGAGAGAGAGTGTGTGTGGTGGTCGGCTTCACATAGAGATCTGGGTGAGAGAGAGGCAGGGGCCAAGGAGGGGTGACCGATGACATGAGAGAGAGGAAGAGAGGGGTGACCAGCGGCGGCGACATGAAAGAGAAAGAGAAGGAGGGGAAAGGTTTTAGGAGAATAAATCCAACCTAGAGAAAGAGAGGGAGGGGGAGGGTTTTAGGAGAATAAATCCAACCCAAATAGTGGGTCAATGGGTGACCCTTTACCTAATTGACCCTAACCCTTTTTTCTTGATCCTTATGGGTCATTTGACCCATCTTGACCCACTATTCAAATGGGTGGGTTTGGGTCAAAATTGCTACCCCTAGTTTTTGGTGAACAACTGTAGAGATGTATTATTTTGGATGAGTAAGGGGGTGTTCTCAATGTGGATGATAAATTGATGGGTGTAAATTGTCACTAGTTCACACCACACCACTATGACAGAAATCAATCCATACCACATCCCAATTCATAATTGTTCTGAATTATGGATAAACAGTGTGGACAAAATCAGTCCACACTCATAGTTGTATTTTGTAGGTATAATGTTGATCAGTTCACAATACATTTTTTTGGTTCCATGCATTTTACATATTGTTTGTGAAATTGGTACACAATGAGTAATTATACCAAAATTAATTTGGAAATATAATTGATAAATTACTACACAATTGATTATAAATGTAAGCTTTGCAAGAAAAGTACTCATAGTTGAAGAGAAATCCAAAAATGAGAGAAAGAAAACTCAAAGTTGAAGGAAAAAGATTCATAATTAAAATATGATGAAAATGGATTCATTATGTAATGGTTTCAATGGAGAAAACCAGCGAGTGGTGGTCGGCGATGGATCTATGCTCAATAGCCATGAACAATGAAGAAGAAATATAGCTTTGTGGGTTGTAACAACAACAAAAGAATTTTCTTAAGGCATGTGATGTATAATATCACATGCTCATTGTGGTCCACCAGGATCGGGACCATCCACAAAAAATAAAGAGTGGGCATGTGTTGCTAATATTTTGGGTTGGGATGGTCCTGTCCACGTGTTATTGGGTGTGATCTCCTTCCCCAATATGTTGGTTATCGGGATGGGGATCGCCCCCAATGAACCAAATATATACACACATTAAAATTAGTCTGTTCATGTCACACGGCCTTCTCCTTGCAAGAAACCCTCCATTCTAATTTTCTGTTTTAATCCATGAATTTATTAAAAGAGCCAATTAGATCAACCTGAATTAAAGAGTGAGAAGAGATGTTTGCACTTCCAAAGTGTCTCCCGCCCATATGTATAGATTTCAAGCCTTGCACAATTATAACATATTGGTTATTGATGTAACTGTTTATGGTCACGTACTAATTTTTTGTGATGTATAAATTTTTTTGGCTAAGTACCTTGTTATTTGACCCGGTGGTGACATGCCTTGGTGATGAGCTACTTGGTGGCGAACTCCTTGGTGGAGAACTGCCTGGTGGCGAGCTGCCTGGTGGCGAATTGCCTGGTGGCGAACTGCCTGGTGGCGAGCTCCCTGGTGGCGAACTGCCTGGTGGCGATCTCCCTGGTGGAGGCGAGCTCCCTGGTGGCGAGCTCCCTGGTGGCGAACTCCCTGGTGGCAAACTGCCTGGTGGTGAACTCCCTAGTGGCGAACTCCCTGGTGGCGAATTGCCTAGTGGCGAGCTCCCTGGTGGCGAACTCCCTGGTGGAGAACTGCCTGGTGGCGAGCTCCCTGGTGGCGAACTGCCTGGTGGCGAACTACCTGGTGGAGAGCTACTTGGTGGCGAACTCCCTAGGGGAGAACTGCCTGGTGGACTCGTCATTTGACCTGCTCCTACGCGGCCTGTAGCTCAGAGGATGGGGGAGCTCCCTGGTGCAGCGCAACCCGACTGCCCTCTGCATGAGGTGATTTCCTCTCCTTTGTAGGTGGCGGGAGCTGAGGGACCTGCGAGAACTTAATCAGAGGACCCGGGGGGTATTTTCTCGGTGGGGACTCTCCGATGCCTAAGTTAGCATTCTGATTACAAAGAGCTTAGAGAGAAATGAGAGAGCTAGAGAGCAGGGATTACCATCCTTTTTCCCTCCCCCTTGGCTTTGGGGATTGGAGTCC